CTTTATGAATGAAAACACCACATCAACGACTGAAGTAGTCCTTAAGTTTTGAGCGAAACGTACTATAATGCAAAACTGGTCCTCAGGGTCTCAGGCCTGAAAGTGGCATTGCAACCAATTTCATGTTTTACAGGAAAGTTCCAATCACTAAGAAAAACCCATTAAGGGTCTCAGAATAGTGGCTGAACGGTTGAGTATAAGAGACATGCTCTCAAATGGGATTGCCGCGCTGCTCGCCCTCGGTACAATATCGTCCACTTTCCCCGCAGACAACCTGACAGGAATGATGGACAGATGAAATTGACCTGTGAGCTTAGGAACTACATTTATACTAGCTAGATGCTAACACAGAACAGACCTGAGCATTAGCATCTAGCTAAAAAAGCCAATCGCCTTCAAAAATCTAACTAACCCACAAACAAATTTCTAGCATGTTTTGAGTGTTAGCATCTAGCTAAAATAACTTTTAACATCTAGCTAATCATGTATTTTTCATTATTTCTTAAAAGTTAATAAATACACATTTAAGCTATAGAGGCTAATGCTCAAATCATGCTAGAAGCGTATATATACACATGTAAAAATCTAACACAGCTTCAGTGTTAATATTTAAACATTCTATCAAGCTTTAATTTAATCTACCTTTAATATTAATTATTTCTTAACTTTGAAGTTCATACATAAGTCACAAGCTCTTTCTTTTGTTGTGCAAGGAATTGTGAGCAATTTCACCTGAAAAAAGCACCCAAAGATGTACACTTTAACATTTTACTTGAAATACCATATCACATGGGCTCTATACTAGGGCTGGGTATCGTTCAAAAATTTTCGATACCGATACATTGACTTCGATACCGGTTCCTGAATGATACTTTTTTCGATACCAATTTTATGAAATCTATTTGAACAAGATTACATTGTCTAAAAAAAAAACACTGCACAAAGGAACAAAATGTAACAAACAAAATCAGTGCAAATGGTTTTAATAAAGTTCAAATAGTCTTCAGTTTACACATCTGTTAGCTACATTTACACTAGTGCATGTGACAGAATCACCTAGCTCAGACAGAATCGTAATTTCTATTAATTTTCTACTGATTTACTGAGAAGCATTAGCAGTTTCTAGCGCTGTCTGCCTGTGCTCTCTCTTCCATGATTGCTGCTCTGACTCAGAGGTTATAATATATTTAATTTCATCAGCAATACAAGGCCAAAACACACACGGCAATCGGAAGTTATTACAAAAACATGATGTTGGTTTAAAGTGAGTTTTGAGTAAAAGCGGAATATAAATCTTATTTATTGTATTATGCAGGGGTTATATTGAGATTTGTTATGTGTGTGTGTGTGGGGGGGGGGCTCTATGGTATCAAGCTTATATGTATGTATGTATGTGTATATATATATGTGTGTGTGTGTGTGTTTTGTTTTTTGTGCAAATGATTTGTAATGAGTTAATGTCAAGCCCTGGAGTCTATAACGTTAAGTGCCGGGGCTCAGCCCCAGACGGCCCGGCCCAATTTAAACCCTGGTCTTATGTAGCATGATGCTACAGTGTGCATGAATGGTCACATAACACGTGCTTTCGGTCTTGTAGTATGAACGGACACATCTACTCTCCATTGGAAATGAATGACTTTCGGTCTGTCATTTGTCGGAGATAGTGGAAAGCCGGCTTGAAACACAGTGGAAATGTCAGTATGACGAGGATCGTTTTCATTTTAAAACAAAAGCGCACCTGTGTAAATGTAGCCTTACAGCTACGGGGGCTGGGACGCATTCACACTAAATACTCACATGTGAGCCACATCTCTGAGTGTAACAGCCGCGGACTGACTGTGCAGACCTATCGGTGTATTAGGCTATAGTAAGATACCACGAGCAGACTGCTCCGTACGTTTTCACATCGCTCTCGCGGATGTCAAACACTGATCGATCTGCGCCTTACTGATGTTGATGAGATTAACTCCTTAGGTATCGAAATTTGGTACCGAACGACTAAACGTTTTTTGGATACTCGATAGTATCGAGGCAATTCGGTCGGTGCCTAAAAAGTATTGAACTTGATACTCAGCCCTACTCTATACTATCATTTAGAATCCACAAATTCTAATCTTGCATACTATTCATAAAAGATGGTATGCAAATTAGAATGCAAGTAGGTGAGAGAAAGTGAGAAGTCTCCGCTTTCCCTTTGAAACTCTAAACGATACTGCGGAATACAGTAGCAGCCACATAAAGCATCGATACAATACTTTCATTTAAAATAATGACTGTAGAATGAGTCAAAGTGTTGCGGTTATGGTCAAAGAAAAATAATCAAATTTTAGCTATGCTACCAGAGGGCAGGGAGAGGTGAAGGTCATGTTTCACATTGATTTCTAAAGGAGCATGCAAAATATGTCCCACCACACCATAGTTATTCGAGAAAAATGTCAGGGCTCAGACAGTCCTCAGGCAAAAGCTGTTGGAAATCTTTTAAATGCATTATTGAACCCTTAGGGGCAGAGACGGTCAGTTTAAACCAGACAGAGAGACAAAACTGTCAGCAAATTGAGATAAAATACACCTAATCAATTTTAGAAATATCTAGAGATTACAGAGCTCTCCAGTAATTTTAGTACAAACAAATATAAATAAGCTGTATTACAACAAAACGCTTTGGCTATGTGACTATAGTGACATTTATACAAAAGAATCCACACCAAAACCAAAAAAAGTGGCTAACTGTTAGCTGGCGATAAACCACTGCAAATATTTAAACCAATCACATTGAATGGCTCAGTTTAGATCGTTTTCTTTACTAGCCTGATGGTCTTGGAGTGCCCCCATGCTGTTTGGTTTTATTTTAGGAGTGTTTAGATATGGCTGAGTCAGCTTCCAAGCTCTTTCAGTCTTTGGAAGCTTCCAGAATGCCTAGCCAACCACCTAGAACACAAGCTTTGAAAATGCACAACTTGCTGAGTAAAGGTGGCAAACTGCCATTTATGACTTGATAAAACTTGCCTTAATAGGAAAAGTCATATATTTATGGATTTAGGAAGCACATTTGCGTGTGTGGAATGCTAACTGTAAATGAGGATACTGAGGCAGCATACAGAATTGTTAAATCACAATACAGACGGGTATTAGCTTGAAAGACCCATAAATTGCTACGCTAAGCTTAATAGCTGGCCTGTCAGACTTAACACTGAGCAAAATTTCTTCCATCTCATTGTCTGCACAACTCAAAATGTCACCAGGCTCAGAAGTATTGGCCGTAATTACCAAACTCAAAAAGACAAATAGCTAAATAATAGCAAGAGTGAGGCAAGGAAAGGCCGTGTGTCCATCAGGGACTACAGGCTGCAATTTCAAAATCGATTTACTCCCACAGAAGACAACTGACTATCCTATGACATCAGGCCTTGGGAATAATAGCCTCATCTCTACTTGATGAATGTGTCAGCACTTGAAGCACGGCGGGGAAATAATAATGGAGCTCCCTCTTAGCAAGGAGAAATATACAGAAACACTGTGAAAGAGATGAGAACGATTGCTAAGGTGTAACGCCCTGTAACAGATGCTTACCACCCACTCAAATTATTGAATAATTTAAATTTAACAAAAGCTCTGCCTGTTGTGGAAGGAGAGATAAAATGACGATTCCAGTCAGGGATATATCACTTTAACACTGAGGTCAGGGAATAGTCAAAATCCTCATTTTGCATTTGTATTGTTTATCCAAGATAAGATGCTAAAGCTAAAGTTTTGTGAAAGATAAGACTGGAATTACTACATCTTTCCTCTCTCTTACTATCCAGCCTGAACAAGTGATAATTATTTATAATTATAATATTATTCTCCATGCACCGTCTCCTCAGATCTGCAAGCCCTGGGCTGACAGAAGTGGTGTGCTAACCCGTTTACTTATAAATGGGATATCGGCCAATGCTAGTAGAAAGTGTATGCAAGGTAGAAATAGCTACACTCTCAAAACTCTCTGCTTTGCTGTTCCAACAAGTGTTCATTCCCAATATTGTGTTTCTGTCAACAATAGTGTGGTTGAGTCAAAGGAGTAGATCACCCAAAAATCAAAATCAAGTGTAACTTGTTTTCTTTTCAATAAAATAAAAGTGAAGGGCTGGGACCTTTCATATCATAAAAGAGTTCCATATACATTATATTTTGAGTCTTCTGAAGCAACACAACACCAATGTGTGAGGACCAGAGCTAAATGTAAGTTCATATTTAAGAAATCCATAAAGGTTTGGAACAACATGAGCAAAAGGGGTGAGTAAAAGATGACACAATTTTCATTTTTAGATTAACTAATCCTTTAAAGACACCAAAGAGTTTATATTGATGGACATTGTGTAGATTAAACAGAGGCATCTTAAACATTACCAGCTCTGGACATCCTGTGCCCAGTGATAAAAAAAACCTAATACAAGCGCAATCTTTCTTTCAGTCAGAATTTGAACGAGCCAAGCAGGGTTCCGGCTGCTGTACTTGCAGGTTTCCACAGCTGTACAGATAAGAAAGGCAGCAGAGAGCAGCTAAGTGCACTCTCATCAGAATTAGCCCCAATCATTAATAAGAGAAAATGCAGATAAGCAGGACTGCATAAAAACGGGTTTAAATAAAACATTTTGCGGATAGATTTCAAATAGTTATCCATTTGGGAGAAGGGCATTTACTGCATGCAAAAAGCAAACATAACCACAATAGTTTTCAAACTATGCAGTTCGGACAAACCAACACACACAGGAGCTTACCATCATCAGTTCCTTCTGAAAAGATTTTTTCTCCTTAGTCTCCATGTTGAGGCAATCTTCCTTTAGTTTCTCCAGCACTGAGGCAACCCTCTCTGGTTCACTGTCCAGCTCTGCTCTGCAAAAATATGTCAAAGGAAGATTCACATAAGGGAGAAGGGCATTTACTGCATGCAAAAAGCAAACATAACCACAATAGTTTTCAAACTATGCAGTTCGGACAAACCAACACACACAGGAGCTTACCATCATCAGTTCCTTCTGAAAAGATTTTTTCTCCTTAGTCTCCATGTTGAGGCAATCTTCCTTTAGTTTCTCCAGCACGGAGGCAACCCTCTCTGGTTCACTGTCCAGCTCTGCTCTGCAAAAATATGTCAAAGGAAGATTCACATAACCCAGAGCGTCAGCAAATGCTCGCCAGTTTCCCAGATTTTCCATAAGTATTGTCCTCACAGAGGCGTAAATATAAGTGAGAAACTTGCAGGGCTTCAGGATTTGTTCCATCAGCATTGTGGTTGTAAGGTCTGGCCCACAGAAGTAAATAGGCTTAACCTTTCCCAAGACAAGCACATTTTTTACATGTACAAGCCCAATCTTTCCCTGATAATATCCAATGTACCACTCTTTAGTCCATAGTTGTCCTTTGAGTTTGATCTTCTCCTCACTAAATAAGGCGATAATATCGCCTTTTTTATATTCCAGCAAGTACTGATTCTTGGTCTGCCTGATAACTGTTTTGATCAGTTTGCCAAATTTCAAGTTGGTAATGCAACGCTCCTGAAACTGTGGGTATTTGGAGGTGATTGCCAGAGGAGACAGAATTATTTTATCAACTTCCTTTTTCTTTAAGAACCGCCTCTGGCCGTTGTTCCGTATCCCGGTTTTAGGCGGTGGCTGTGGTGTCTGAACACAAAATTGTGCAAGGATGCAATCCTCGTCATCTTTCACCTGGACACGTAACGTGAAGTCAGACATCTCATCTGCATTCCGAGACGTAATCATGTAGATGAGTCGACTCACCTTGCCTAGTTTGATCTGAAACCCACGAACAACCCTAGCCTGATCATTTGACTTGACCTCATAATTTGACATGTTGGAATACATGCCTATCTGCAAGTCCTGAGGTCTGCCAAGGACAAATTGGTGCTTCCCCCACAGTTGTAGTGCAACAGGAGGGGCAGACTTTGCTTGTTTCCCAACTTCGCTAACTAGAAGAGTCTTGGGGGCACAGTCATGGCCAAAAATGGCCACCACTATACATATATACATATATATATATATATATATATATATATATATGGCACAACCAAATCAAACACTTTATTTGCAGTACAATAAACTGACCTTTGACATCTATGAGACCCGCCTCAGTCACTCCCTCATCAAGGTCGATAAGAGTGCCCTCTGATTTACATCTAGGGAGAACATTGTTGTTGTTGGTTACTCTGATCCTGTGGGCGGCCATCTTGCATTGGTTACGCTATTTCACCATTGCTCCAAACCTGACAATCAAACACTGGCAGCTTTCCATTTTTTCTTGCTGGGAAAACAAAAAGGACAGGGACCATCTTGCTTAGCTTTATGTGGCAAGACAAACACTTGATGCAAATAGAATAATGAGACATGCTGCAATTAGATTATTGGATCATTAAGGCAAAACTCTTCAGAGAGATTGTAGCTAGAGATTAGTGTGGTGTAGCTAAACTGGGTAAAGATGAAACTCAAAATGTGCTGCATGAGATTAAGAGATCCTTAAAATGGATTACTTTTAATATATCTTGGAAGAGGTTTATGCATTGTTGTTTATATAGAAATTAAGCCAGAAAGTTCACTTTACTTTATCTCTCAGAAAACTTCTTAATGACATCTCACTGCTAATATAACTTAAAGCTAGCATTAAATTAAAATTTACCAAATGTACTTAATGCACATTCCTGGTCTTATTGTGCATTTTGCTCCAAACAACAACAAAAACATCATCAAAGTCTTTAATCAAAATGTAATGCCAAGCTGCAGACAACATCTCTTTTCAGCTAATGTCATTAATCCCTCTTTTTCATCTTGAATATTCTGTTTCACTTGGAAATATAAGGTAAACAGCATTTCAGTAAAATATACTATAATTTACTAAAGCACAAAAAGGTATTTACCGTAGTTTTAAAGATACATAAGGCTTTATGGATCAATGTTATTACACAGTGTGCACATTTACTTTAGACTGAAAGTCACACTACCAGAAACAAGGTAATAACACTTGGAAATATAAGGTAAACAGCATTTCAGTAAAATATACTATAATTTACTAAAGCACAAAAGGTATTTACCGTAGTTTTAAAGATACATAAGGCTTTATGGATCAATGTTATTACACAGTGTGCACATTTACTTTAGACTGAAAGTCACACTACCAGAAACAAGGTAATACAGTCCCAGATGTGTCATTTACAAAATGAATAAATATAATATATAAGGTAGCTCTGGAAACAACAACAACAATGTAAAATTCTAATTTATAGACTTGATATCTGGATAAACTTTTATCACTGGTAGAGCGTTTGATAAGCTGGGTTCTAAAAGAAAGATATCAAAGCATATCAAAGGACACCTTGAACTAAAAATCACATGCATACGGTTCCATAAGCAGGGGTTCCATCAATTAAATAAACAAAAACACCCTCTGGGTGATGAACCTGAATAAATACCATCCTAAAAATTTAAATATTACTTTTTGTGTCAACATGGTTCCATAAAAAAAAAAAAAGCACAAACTTTTTGCAAACTCCTGTAGCGCTGTATAAAATTATTAATTTTTGCACCTTGTTGTGGATTAGAGGCGCCATTTTTTCTGTTATGATTCATGCTCTCTTAAGGTGAGCAACAATTTGGCTTTTGGGGGGGGGCATTTCCATGCATGATTGCCTCAACTTCTGTTGCTTTACGTGACAGACATGCAAAACAACACAGAGATGAAAAACAAGCTATAATTAGTTGGACTAAATAATCATGAATATCAAATATGACTAAAGGGCCAAGTAAGAGTAGCTGATAATAATTTAATTTCTACACAACAATTGACCATAGGATGACATAAATGAGGTTTGAAAGGGTGTCTCTGTACAGAAAAGCTGTACTTAGATGAATGCAATGCAACGTTTTGCTGTGGAAAATTTTTTTGAAGGCTCTGTGGAAGTTGAAAGATGAAGGTCTTGGAAGGGCCTTTCATGTCTGTTACTCAAAAGCTTAATGGACTCTTCAAAAGGAGGTACGCATCTTTTGCATGTATGTATTAAAAATCTTTCACACAAAAGATTTAATGGAAGGATTCATTCCCTTTTAAATGTCCATTTCTTTTTATCTACATTTAGCAGATGCTGAAGTAGGTCAGCAATACAAATGCATCATTCATTCATTCATTCAATACCACTTTGCTTCGTTCCCTTCAGTCCAATCCTCAAAAATTCTCCCTCATGCTTTTATTTTATTCATAATTCAAGCCATCAGAAGCTGATGGAAAAAGTGCATTCCTGGGAAAAAAATATGAAATAGTAAAACTTGACTCTATCAGAGTTGGAGAAGTGCTTCAAGGTCTACGGTTCTTCTAACACTTGCAGCACCCACAAATAAGGTCTCATTTTATACTCTATGACACCATCACTAGCACGGTTTGATGTGTCGAAGGTGGTATTAGGAGGCAGAGGAAGAGCAATTGATGGATTAAAAACCTAGAGGTCTGACAAGGATGTAATCATGGTTTCTAATAACAGCACCTGGGGCACTCCAAAGAATGAAGACTAGGGTCTCTTTCCCATAATCCCTCTGTATCCTCCATATCCTCTTTTCTTTAGTATCTTATTTCACAGACTCTCTGACAAAGTTATTTAGTCATTGATCTGTCAACCTCACAGTCAGACTCAAATTGTAAGTGTTAACGTCAAACATGTTGAAGGATTGCTTCTTTGGAGGTAACAAGCCTCAGTAGTACTAAATCAGATGTGTTATTCAAGTAGCTAACTAGCTATATACGTGCCCACTTTAGCTAACTTGCTTAGCAAGATTCAAATGGTTGAAACTAGAAAACTAGTCATATATGAAGTGTCTATGCAAATTTATGGTAAAGTGCCCCTTGTGGCAATGCTGAGAATGCAATGCATTATGAATAGTGGTCTGAAAGTGCAACATTTTTTGAGCAATATCCAGTCATTTACATAGGAATCGCATGATCTGGAGTGTCACGTGAGGGTGAAAATTTGCCCCGGCAGATTTCTCTTATGTTTAAGTCACACTCAAATTTCTCTCATAAACTAACAGAAAGATTTTTGGTTTGAAAGTGACTTAACGTTACACCTGCAAAATTTCACCTCAACATATTTCACAATGTGGTAACACAAAAATGTGTCTGTTTAGCAATTAGCAATTATGCAACTTTTGGTTACAAAAACATAAAAAAAACACAAAAGACAAATGATTTCGGTTCCATTAACAGTTCTAAAACAAAAAAAATTCCCGCCAAAATTAACAAAATTGGGTAATGTAGTACTTTTGAGAAAGTATTCAGTGTTGTTTTGCATTACAAGCACTGTTAATTTTTAATACACAAACATTACAATTACACAGATTTTCGGTTATAAAAAGCCAACTTTTTTAACATAAAAAAAAATTCTGCTAACAAGAATGGAATGAAACAGAAAACAACACTCAATGCCTCCTCAAAATACTACAAGAATTGTTAATGGAACTGGAACCAGAACAGAACCTTGCAGTTCCCATGTAGTCACATCCCCGTAACTATACACAAGCATTAGCAATTATGAAGGCTTTTTTTTTATTTTTAGAAAAACAAAATATTTTGGTTTCATTACCAGTCCTAAAACATGCATTTTCCATCAACATGGATGGAATGGCGTAATGCAATGCACAGCAACACTCGATACTTCCCCAAAAGTACTACAAGAACTGTTAATGGACCTGGAATCGGAAACAAAACCCCGCTATTCCCACATAGCAACATCCCCATAATATTCAGCCAGAAAGATGTTTTTAACCATCCGTTGACAACATGAAACACTGGTAATCCACGACTCTCGGGTGTCCCATAAGACATGAGAACTCTTATCTCGGATGCGGCACGTAACTCACAGAAGATGAGTGGAAAGCACTTCAAGCTGGAGGCCAGGGAATTTAGATGCTCTTAGATACATTGTTAGCTCTGCGGAAACCTCATGAGTTTAAATTCAAGCACTCCTCCTTAATCATCGTCCTTCAGACAGCTTCATACAGATAAAACACAGTGTTTGGCTGAATTGATTAATTCAAACAGAGCGGCATTACCACATTCATATAACACCAATCCTTCCGTCCTGCGTTAAAACACCTGTCATTTCAAATGAATTATTAAAATTACATTTCCAAAACGTGGCATTGGGGCAATAGCTGAGATAACGTGGCACATTATGGCCTGTGGTAATAAAATTTTATTATTAGTTCCATTGATGATATGAAGTAGTTGTATATTACTTTGACAAGCTAATTGGGTGAAGGCGGTGAGTGGGATATCTGCCAGTGGCTCATCACATGGTAAATATGACCACCTCGTATATATATATATATGACCCTTCTGCAGAGGACAAAGCAATTTCTCCCTCCACTGCCCTGCAGTCCATACTTCACCACTGACTCTAAAACAAAAGGTTTACTTAGGTAAAGTGCAGAGGGGTGTGGGTGGAAGATTATCTTTCAAAGAGCCCATAAGAGGTTAATTTCAGGAGTCGATTAAATGACCGACATTTATCATCTCTGCGTGAATAGGTCATTCAACCTGGCAAGGTTCAACTACCGCAAATGAGTCTGACATTACAGTTTAATGTAATATGTTACATTTTGTATGCAATAATTTTATATATTTTGCATATATATATATACATATATAAACATACAATATATATAAATATGTAATATATGTATAATATATAATATGCACTATTTTGTATGGGATATTTTTTTCATATATTAGGCATATATAAGGCATTTTTATTTTTAGGGATTTAATTTTTTACGACAGCTGTGGTTAAACGCGATAAAACAAGCAGACTGGACAGAAACGATCGTCAAAAATGCTTGTGCTTGCAGCGCACACTTCTTATCAGAAAAGGTTCAATAAAGTATTGTCTTTTGTTGTTATGGGCGCGTCTACAGATTTCTTGCCATATGTCTAAGTTTCTTGCATCTCACGACTATGTCGTGTATGAAATAATGTCTGTGTGCATGTGTGT